CTATCTTGCTGGCTTCCGCCCACGCCTGCCACTGACCAAGCAGCCAAGCAGGGAAACACCTTCTCCTGAGAACATGAGCCAGGCAAGGGATCACCAGGGTGAAACTAGATAGACTTTGCAGGCAGGGGCAGGGCAGGGCAGAGATAGGGCCGGGGAAAGCGCTATCCAGGGAGAATTCCTTCTTGGCCCCAAGAAGGGTTTTGGGGACCCTGTTACAGAAGAGTGGAGGAGCCAGAGGTGGAGGGAATCTCAGCATGGCCAAGCTAGGCCAAGCAAGAGGAGGAGGCCACTGACCACGAACCCATTTTACAGAGGGGGAATGTGAAGTCTCAGTCTTAATTCACCAAAGAGGAGCACATGCATACACAGGAGGTGGGGGGATGAAAAAGCACGCTCCACAGGGGATGCTCACCCCACAGTCCCTTCCCCTCCATCTCGCCCTCCTCTGGGCATTTTGGACATGCACGTGCGCACACACACACCCTGAATGTTTCTCCAGCCACTGGGTCCAGGACTGGAACTGCACAGTAGGCCATGTGGGATCCAGAGCCTTAACCACCATGCCACCAGTTGGCCCAGAAGGCATCTGTGTAAGAGGACCCCAGCAGGCTACCCCTGTCCTCCCCTCCGGGGCTACACCCACGCACAAGCACACACCAGTTCACAATGTGTTGGTATCTGCCGGTTGTCTCTGGCGACTCACGGGGAGAGGTAGCCTTCCAGATTGTCTGGCACAGAAACTCTTCCCATTTTACATATGAGGAAGCTGAGCTCCTGAGATGAACCGATCTTATCAAGGATTTCTTTTACCCAGGGAGGATTGCTAAGTCCCTCCCCATGCCTCCCTGGCTTGTTGGGCCCCCAGGAATGGGGTAAGAGCACTTGTGCTCCCCAAGATCGTCCTGAGAAACAGACTCTGCTCTGGGCCTGTCAGCCCCAGTGTCTAGAGGGTCATTTCAAAGAGGTCACTCCAAGGGGCTGTCACTGTGTTTATGACCCCCCCCACCTCTGCCCCAAAGCCCCTCCCAGCGGTGCGGTTTGGTGGAGGCACTGTCGCAACTGGCCGGGATCCAGAGCCAGACCCAGAGGGCTCAGCGGGTCGACCACAGGGAGGCGGGCCGGGGGCGGAGCACGGAGAACAGAGGCGGCTCCACTCGCCGGCTCTGCCTGAGCAGGGCAGAGCGCGAACGCCTTCCTCGCCCGCGCGCCTCATCCCCATGGACGCCTTGTGCGGCTCTGGGAAGTTCTGGGTAAGGCACGGGGCTTAGGGGTTGCTAAGGCGGGAGGGCTCACACAGGGCCACCTGCCTTCCCGCCCGATCCGGGAATGAAGGGCGCGAACAGCTGAGCTCGGAAAATAACTCGAGCGCCTAAGAGAGGCGATGGAGCGCTGGGAGGAGTTTGTGCCTCCCGCTCTCGGCACTGGCCACTGGCCGTGGCGCTCAGAACCGGGTCCCAAGTGGCGTCTGCGACTTTACCCTGCCCCGCCCTTCCCCGCAGCACAGGCGACCCCAGAAAGTAAGCATGAGACTCCTCGTGGGCGCAGCGAGGGTCCCCTGAGAATCGGGAAGCGCCCCAACTTGCCCTGGCTCCAAACCCTCCGTGGCTGTAAGCCACGTGCCTGACTCGCCCTTCAGCACCTGTCCCACTTGCCCCCTGCCCTGGAGCCCCCAGAGCAGCGAGAGCCCCTGGGCAATCAGACGCTAGAAGGCTGCCTGTGCAGGTCTCTAACCTTCTTGGGAAGGATTCCTGCCACCTGGTTTTCCCTGGAAAAGAGCCAGTGGCTCCAAGGCTGAGAGAGTCCATCCTCACCACCCTGTCCTCAGCAGAGAGAGCCAGGTCCCCCTCCTGAGACTGGCCCTGGCGGCGGTCAGATAGAAGTCTGCACGTCCACCCTGCTCTTTTCACAGATGGAGAAAGGGAGGCCCAGGGAGTCAGGCACGGACCCGGAGTCACCCAGTTCTGGGATAGGAGAGTGGGCCTTTTGTGCCTCTTGCTCCAAACCTTTTAACCTTTTTCTTTTCTTTTTTCTAATTGACTTTTTTTTTCTTTTTCTTTTTTTGCTATAGAGCAGTGCACTCTCTGGAGAGATAGAGAGAGGCAAAAAGTCAGAAATCACCCTTCAGGGGATGGCCATGCCGCCATCCCTTCTTCTCTGTTCTTCTCTCAGGATCTTGGGCATGCACGCACTCGTGCCTGGTGTGATTCCAAGCCGCTGGGTTCTGGAATTGAACCACAGTTGACCACATGGGAGTCCAGCCACCTTACATTATATCTGCTGGTCCCACCTTTTCCTAAGACATCGGGCTGCTGCCCCAGCCTCCAGCACAGATTGGGTAGTGAGTCTATGCAGCCCACGGGCTCTCTAGCCAGCTCTCAGAACCCACTCACCTCTGTGTGGCAAGTGACACTGCGGTCTGTCTCACATGTGGCACTAAAATGAAAGGGGCTTACCCGTGGCTGTCCAGGAGATGCTTGGCATGGGTTGGTCTCAAACCCAGGGCTTCGGAATCCTAATCTCTAAGTCTTTTCCCAGTTTTAAGTATTTGTACATATGTGCCTAGGGCGTGCATGTGCAAGTGCGCGGGGGGCCAGGGGGGCGTTATCTATGGGTATGTGTTATGCATGCCTGTGTACATAGGTGTGCATGTGTGTGCATGTCTGCAACCATACCCTCGGGGCTGCGTTTGGGATGGACTAAAGACATTACATGATATTTTTGAAATGTATGCTATCAAAAAGAAAGTGTCTTTGGGGCTCTCTCTTTCTCTGTACCGTGACAAGGGGCATCTGAGATGGCACAATCTCTGTGCCATTGCCTTTCTCGCCCGGTCCCATTTGTCATCTAGCCTCTGACACGAGTCCAGAGGTTACATTTTTGAACCATAAATATACATCCTTTCACCTCATTGGATGTGACTGGTATGGCAATAGCATGTTCATGGGGTCTGAGGGAGAAAACCAAGAGGCCATGGTGCCAAGCCTCAGGTGCAAGAGCCCCTTATTCTGGGACGGATGCTAAATGCTGAGAGTTTGACACGGTGTAGAGACAGCGTCAAGGAACATGGAGCTGGAGAACTCAGGACTCAGGACCCCCTTCTTGTCCCAGGCTCAGAGTTCCTTTGGCTCTCTCTGGCCTTCCATGTGACAGTGGAATCCAAGAATGTCAGCCTCTGGGGGCGGAATAGCTAGCCCAGCCCCTCATTGTAGAGCTGGGGAAACAGAGGCCCAGGGAGAGAAGGTCACATGACAATCAGCTACAGAGCACCAGACTGTGAAACAAGACCCCTGGGGCATGGTTCCAACCTGCCCCTGCCTAATGATAAACCCTTGAATTTCTGGGACCCTGGCCCCTGAAGCTCTCCTCCCTGCTCATGAGCACATGCACCTCCTCTGAGCCCTCAGGTTCACTTGAGGTCAGCTGTTCAGATTGGGAGTCCTTCATGGGGACTCTGTTTGAAAATACAGACTGTCAGTTGGTGTAATGGCTATGTCGCTGGACTCCCATGTAGTCGACCAAGGTTTGAGTCCTGGACCCGGTAGCTTAAACTCACACCAGGTGCACGGGTGTGTGTGCCCAAGATCCCGAGAGGAGAATGGAGAAGTGATTGCAGCATGGCCATCCCCCCTGGGGAGTGATTTCTCGCTTTCTTTCTCTCTGTCTCTGTCTTTCTGGTGAGCGCGCATGCCCTATAGCAAAAATCTCTCCAAAAAAAAGGTAAAAATAAATAAATAAGTACAGAATGTCAATAACAGAGAACTGGCTACACACCAGTCTCTAACTGTCCTCCATCCTCCACGCTAGCTTCCTGAGAGCTGTTTCCACTCTCATCCTGAGTGGCTAGTGACTGGGGCGGAGAGTGGAGAAGGCAGGGAGGCTCCTCCCCTGTGGTTTGCAGAGCTGAGCTGAGGGTCTGAGGCCAGGGGGCTGTAGCCTAAGCCATAACTGAGTTACTCAGGAGGCCTGGAGTTTGCATTGCTTATTATTCAAGGGTACCTACCCCTGAACAGTTAGTTTTAGAGACCTGTGGGTGACTCACTTTGGGGCAAGTGGTTCCTCTAGAAAGTACCTGAACCAGCAGTGAAAAGCTGTGGTGTGGGGGGAAGGGTTCAGGCCCCCTCTGGGCCACTCGTTTACTCTCCTAAGCCTTTCCCGAGCTTATTCTGATAGCCTCCGTTTCTCCACCTGTGAAATGGGCAATAACCCACCTCCACCCACCTCACAAGAATTTTTTAAGGGTTGATAAAGATGGGGAATGTGGAATTATCATGAGAATTAAGAAATTTCTGATATTCCTGGGAAGAAGAGGGAGGAGAAAGAGAAATAAGGTTAGATAGGAATGTTAGCCCTGGGGAGACCTACAAGAAAAGGGCTGGCATGACTGTGGGGCCGGACGCCCCATTTCAGGGGAGCAGGGGGCTGCCCCTGGCTAAGTCCATCAGCCCTAGCCTCAGCTAAGTCTGAAGGCGGGAGACAGGGACCCTGTGACCCCCTGCGCATGGGCACTATCCCTCCTGTACACTCAGATGCCACGCGCTGGGTGAGTGACTTGTTCTTTGTTTGAGTCTCTCACTCTCTCACCTCTATCCACGTTGGGGCGAGTTACCAACACCTCTGGGTATGCCTTGGGGATTTTTGTGGAAATAAGAGTGCGTTATGAGGCCAGAGATGCTCTAGAACTGAGATGTTCTAGAATAAAACGGTTGTAGTGTCCCTGTGCACCCATCTAGAAGACTACTCTCTGCTCTAAGCAGCAGAGGCTGGAGAGTGCCCGGGTGACAAGGGGAGTGCACTGAAAGAGGGCCTAGGGCTGTTTACTCCCAGGGGTGGGGGGGGGGGCCGGGATTGATCTGTATGCAGAACCTGCCTTGATCTGGAGGCCCAAAGCCAAAGATCCTGACCAGAAATACTGTCCAAAGCTGGCACTGAGCCTGAAAAGCAGTGAGCCTCCCATCCCCGGGGTGGTGTGCAAACACGTGGTTAGTGACCACTGGGTGAACCACGGGGATTCCCTGGTTCCTCCTCCAGGGTTACCAGACTCCTGTTTCCTCTCTCCCCACTCTAGACATGGAATTGTTTTTGTTTTTGTTTGAGAGTTTTTACTATAAGGGCGCATGCGCTCCCCAGAAAGACAGACAGAAAGTGAAAAATCACCCACCAGGGAGGATGGCCACGCCTCAATCCCTTCTTCTCTCAGGATCCTGGGCATGCATGCACACATGCCTGGTGTGAGTTTAAGCCACTGGGTCCAGGACTCAAACCGCAGTCAACTACATG